CCCCAAAACCCCAAAACCCCAAAACCCCAAAACCCCAAAACCCCTCAATGCTAATTCTAAATAGAAAATTAATATTTTTGAAATCAACAATTAATCTTCTGTTTCTTTAAGGGTCTCATCGATTTGGTCTAGCTCCTGAAGTGCAGATTCAGGAATTTGGTCCCTTACCTCTTTAAGTTCAGTTTGAAGTCTCTTAATTTGCTCGTTGGCAAAATCAAGAAGAGTTTTAACTTGTGAGTTGTCTTGAGGAGCCTGTCTTCTCGTATTTCTATCAAACTCTCCATGGATTTCATCTGTGATTTCATCTGTGATTTCCTCTTCTCCTTCAGGTGCAGAATCACCTTCCTTCTGCTTCTCAAACATGAGGTCGAATACAATGTCTTTAAGGTTAGATTTTTCACTGGTAAGTTCGCTTATATCAACTTTTCGTTTTCCAAAAAGTTACGGTTGACTCTGTCTACTGTTTGCTTGAAATCATCTAATTTCTGATTACATTGGCCTTCTGCAACACCTAAGGCAGCTCTTGTTTCATCTCTTTCTTCGGTCAATTGTTGGGCTTGCTCAGTTAACTGCTTAAATTGCTCTTTCTGATCCTTCTCTAGGTCAGCAATAGCTTGGTCTTTCTGCTCTAATTGGGACTTTAATTCAGTAATTAAGGTCTCTTGTCTAGCAATTTCTTCTGGATTTGCTCTTTTGGCTTCCTATATCAAATATCAGAATCTTTGAAGAAATTCTATTGGCCTAGTCTGGCGAAGATTCATAGTGAAGAAGTAGAGCTTACTTCTATAGAGATAAGAGTGTCTTCAACTGTTTTCTTTTCTTTTTTACCCTTTTTCTTCTTGTCACCGCTAACTGCAGGTCCTTTGGATGCTGTTGGGGCTATCTTTTTGGGCTCAAATCCAAAATTAGGCATGTCTTCTAAATCCCATTCGGCCAATTCTTTCTTTTCTTTTGGGGGCTGGACTGGCTCAGCTTTCTTACCCTTCTTGTTACCTCCCTTCTTTGCATTGGAGGTGACTTGTTTTTTGGATTTTGTGTTTTTGGACATGCTTGATTTTGATAAATTATTTATTAGTTCAAATCTCAGTTTTATTAGCGGGGTTTTGGGGTTTTGGGGTTTTGGGGTTTTGGGGTTTTGGGG